GGCGTATTTTCTAATTGTAGGCTCGTACTTGCAGCGGGAGTAGGACTAGTTGGGGCTATATAAGAAATTTTCTTCGAATTGTGACTTTCGAGACAATTAATGGAATGTTCCGGAACATCCAGCTTTCTTTTTTTCGATGTACACGATGTTGTACAATCACTACGATCAGCCAAAAGTAAATAATTTACCTATGTAAATGTATGTGTATTTATATATTATATGAATTGAATTTGATAGATTAATGCATTTGTAAGTTTATCGAAATTCTAAAATATTTGCAAGTAGAATAATATTGGTGTCAAAGGTAATAATAAAAATGTTTAATCTAAATTTAATTACAGCCAAACATTACCACCCACAGGTTCAAGGTTGGTACTGTAGTGTCGGTTGATTTAATACACAAAGGTAAGGACCCAATATTTTGTAGTCTTTTTAACAGCACGAGTAGTATTTACAATATCAAAAGATACAACAAAGTACAGATTACTAACGTAACTTATTTTTTATTTCTTTAATCCACTAAGAAGAGGAAAGAAACAAAGCACACAGCAGTTTTGCGAGTTTTTGAATAGGACAACTGTCATTATCTACTAGTTTGAGTACATTCAATTAATTATAAATAATTGGAGCAGACCTCCCATGACACAAGAAAACGATTCTTTGAAATCTATCTCCTCCGTTACCCGTAGGCCAATTTACACAATTTTTACGGCAATATTTGTAGTTCAACGCAGACAAGGATTGTAAACAATAAAAATATGAATTTGATTTTTTTTACTATCTAACCAACGCTAATTTACATCTGCGCAAGGTCACACCATTTGATTGAATCTTTTATAGTTATGTCTTTAGACTTTTACTCCGCTCCGTTTATGATGCTAGCAAAAGGTTTTACCTTTGCCTCTGCATCAGCCCTAGTTTTATAGTTCTTAGAAAATAGAAAAAGATTTGATCTCGAATTTTTAGGGTTATATATCGATTTACTGCATCGATTCAGTACTATATATCAATTTTTGGCACAAGAAATTGATTCTTAGATTATTCGATGTGAAATCGCCATGCCTGCTGCTGTCCCGTACTTTTAAATGCACAACTAACAATGTCGAAGACTTCTTTCGATATTTGAAACATGGTCGGATTAAAATATGTCGTTTATATAAAATAAGTAATAAAATAAATGAGTGCAAGTAATACTATACGGGGTAGAGCCGATAGTTGTAGCACGAATGGATCGGCTCGACCGGGGACGGACCACGCTCTCACAGAATACCAGCGTGAAATAGTAGCTTAATGCTGCTGTATTTCGTATGGTGAGTGTAGAGAACCGGAGACCCTTTTTACAGGAAACGAGGCATTCCATCTTAGTCCTCACGGGTGACAACGCATCTGCATTTTGATTCGTAATCGAGGATAGATGTGGATGTCTATGGGCCACAGCAACCACTTACGATCAAGTGGACTGTGTGCTCGTTTGTCACCCTATCCTATAAAAAAATACTAATTTGAATAAAAAAAGAACCATCAAAACCGGTAGTAGGTAGTTTCGTGCGTTTCCCATCCGTATGGTTCACTTTTCATAATATATGACTTTTATATAGAAATGGCAGCCACGTGGCAGCGGCAGTAAATTATTATCAAATATTAAATTTAGTGATTTTAACACATGTTTTGTTTACTTAACGGTGAAATGATACTACAACATATTTTTTCTTCGCAGTTGAAGAGTTTTTGCATGTTTTAAGACCATCTAAACACATTGTCTCGCTGAGCGTAGGAGAGTTATCTATATGGATCTGCAAAAAGTATCGATACCAGAGTAGTATCGATACTTTTATTTCGATACCTAGTATTTTTGTACTCGATACTTTTATTAGAGTATTTTACTAAGTATCGATACTTTCTTAGTTAATCGATACTTTTGTCTCTTCACTGAACTGTGATATAAAAGTCAGTAATATACTTCCTTCATCAGTCCTTTTCCGATGTATAGTGTCGTCTCGAATCTCGATGGAGTGAGGATTTTGGGGAAAACTCTATTATAGTTTACATAATGCATGTGAGGCCGAGTAAATACATTTTATAAAATTAATAGCAATATCTCGTAATTTTGATGAATGAATAATTTATAAAATGGAATCATAATGCAAAATATTTGGAATTAAATTTCTTTTTATATGATAGTATGACAACCGAGCACACAGTCCACCTGATAGTAAGTGGTTGTTGTGGCCCATAGACATCTACATCTATCCTCGATTATGAATCAAAATGCAGATGCGTTGTCATCGGACTGCCTCGTTTCCTGTAAAAAGGGTCTCCAGTTCTCTACACTCACCATACGAAACACGGCAGCATTAAGCTACTATTTGACGCTGGTATTCTGTGAAAGCGTGGTCCTTCCCCGGTCGAGCGACCCATTCGTACTACAACTATACTACTAATATAACTGCAACATGGCTCTACCACGTAATCTATAATAATGTGTAAATAATCGTAATGTGTTTCATTTGTCTATTGATGTTGTTTAACCCATAATAAGGCATCACAAATAGGATAGTTATAGAAGTGAGCAAACTTTCGTATGTTGTTTTTTGAGACAAAAAATAGTCAGTCAAGATTCGCTTTCCACGCTACTTGACGCACTCCGAGTTGTCGTTAAATTCGTTCAGTTATATTTTCTTGTTTTCGTTGATATACATTGTTGTTTTTGTTGAGTTTGGTTGTTATTTGTTTGCGTTACGTTTGATTGTTATTTATTTTCGTTAAGTTTTTGTTACGAACGTTGACATTTGTGATTGATTGAACAATGGCAATGACGTGACTTTATGTATATATGTGAGGTGGTGTTTTTGTAATTTGATTCTGATATGTAACAATTAATAAAGACAAATTTTAAAATCCAGTGTCATATGTAACCTTGCTCCTTATTTATTTTATTAATGTTTTTTGACATTATTTCTACTATTATTAATCAATAATATAAAAAAAGAATAATTTATAACAAAAAAGTCAATAAATAAATAAAAATCGATGTTTGAGAACTTGTTTTGCCAACCGTACCATGTGTACCCGCCGCCATTTTCAGATCCATTCTCTATCTGCGTGGCCTATAGTTCCTTAAGTCGATAATTTGTTTTTTTTTACTTCTGGGTTTTTTGGAAATTTATGTGGGAGCTATTATACCTTTGCCCAAGTAAAGTGACATTATTTTAATGTGATTGAAATTTTGAAATATTTTTAAGTGTCTTATTTTCTTCTATAGTCACATTATTATAAAAATAAATAAATAATTTACTGACAAAAATATTTAATTATTTATTATTGTATGGAACGACTCCCAACATGGCACAAAGCAGAGTGGCAGCAGACATATCTTGCATTCGAAGTATGTTCTAACTCCTTTTTCTCTCGCACTGCGAAAACGGAATCTCTTATATGAGCCCTTTTCACCGTGATGCTGACCAGGGCTTGAGCGCCGAATCTCATCGGATATTCCAAAGGCACCACCCTTTTTCTTTATGAAATTGCCTGGCGTATGTTTTCTTTGTGAATAAGTAAATTTTTCAATAAGTAAAATGTTGCAATGTGTATTATGAAGTAAATTTAGACATTATTTCAGGTAGAAAATTTTAGGGCAGAACATGTCTTTCAGTTTGCCATTTTTTTGACTTCTCTGGATGACAGAAACTTCAGATGGATTTACTGCAGTTGACAAAATATGGACTGGAGAGTCATAGCGAAAAGTAAACTTACCGAGAGCAAGCTTGGGTTGGCTAAAGTCATCCGGTACGTGATTTTGATGTTTTTAGTCTAGGAGGTTTGTTAGGGTCGAACTTGAACCTATTACACTGTTTTTAGTTGGAGGAAATGCGTTTTGAATTAATTACGATAAAAACAAATTTCACTAAAACTTGTGTAATAACGAAACGCAAATATGTCAAAGTGTTCTCGTATTATGAAGTAGATGTCTGCTACTTGATTTTTAATTTTGTTTTCAATTTATGAGGATTGTCAGGGTTAAGCTCGAATCATTTACACTGTTCTTGGATTTCAGAAATGCCTTTTGAATTAATTACGATAAAAATAAATTTCACTAAAAATTACAATAACGAAACGCAAATATGTCAATTTGATTTTTTAACACAGATAAACTCATAAAAAAGTTAATCAATCGGACCCAAACAATCCATTTGGCTGGAGACGGGACTTATACACAACAAATTGAAATTCGCAGTGGGGTGCAGTCAAGGGGTTTTTCAGAAAACAAAATTATAACAATTCACATTACATTATTTCATTTACCACTATCATAGCAGAGTTTAGGGCAACCAGACTTTATAGATAAGATTGGACAAATCTGTTCTAAAACTGATTTAGCACACCCCAACTCCACGTAGTCTTGTCTGCCCTACCCCTAGAGTGTTTTTGTAAAGCAGTAGGCACGGAGGGAGAGCAGCCCCTGCCCGCTGTAGCAAATCGCAGGCACCTAAGTGAGCCGTAGCGGCTGAGGCTGGTCGCCGAAGGCAACCAATAAGCCGAAGCTGCGGAGGCGAGCATGGGTGCCTGTGATTTGCTACGCAAGGGCGAAGAGGCTGCACTTCCCCCAGTGCCGAAGCAGTTGCAGAAGTAACTTTGCGTCAATATTCCTGTATACAAAAGTGAGGTTACGATTTACAAAAAAAATATATAATTCATAAACTATACATTTCCGCAACAGGGGAAGGGTAGGGGGTGCTTCTCACGACCCCGCCCCCCCCCTTCCCAACACCGTACGGTCGCTGCAGAAGTAACTTTTTGTAAATATTCCTGTAAAAAAGTGAGGTTATAAATTTACAAAAAAAATTATTACTCATAAACTATGCATTTCCGCAACGGGGTTAGGATAGGGGGGGGGGCTTCCCATGTCCCCGGCCCACCCCTCTCCCCCTCCCAACACCGTACGCGAGTACCGGACGTCTATAGTGTAACCCCAAGCTTCATCAGTTCTTTTTTCTTCATTTTCATTTCTTCACTGTACCCAGATTTTTATGAAGTGGATTCTTCTGGCATTCCTTTCCTTGTCGCACTGTGCCAACACTGTAAATATTTCTTTCATATAAAATCTCTATTAGGGGAATGCTAGTGAAGAAGTTATCAAACACAACTAAAGAGCCAGCAGGTACATTTTTAGTTAGTTTCAAAACAACTTTGTATCCCAGACCTTCTTCACTTAGAGCCTTTTCTTGACATTCTAAAGCCTTGACAAAAACAACATTTATTATGAATACCACTGACAAAACGGAATCTACGACCGGACCATGGCCGTATATCTCCCACATATTTCCAAGAGTCAAAGACAGTTGACTGTAACATTATTCGTTAAAATTTGTATGCTCTTATAAAGTCACATTTCCAATTGATAATATATTAAAAAATACCACGACTCACCTGTTCTTATTTTCTAAATAAACAAGTTTTTATTGCACATCACTGAAAAACTAACGACAAAGACCCATAGAGATAATAATACTTATATAAATCCGTCGGTCACATTTATTCGCCAGATAAGTTATTTGACGATTGAAAATTCAGCCCTGTTTCTATGTACATACCTACGGAATAAAGTAAATTAAGCAACAAATCCAATTATATAAAATGAGAAAAAATTCATATTAGTTAAAGTATTGATATCATATTGCATAGTTACAACCCTATAAGGCGGCCATTTTACGCGCCAGATTTTTATAGGTAGTCACGCTAATTTTGTAGGTATGCCCAGTCCATATACTTCTAAGTCAGTACAAAGACCGTTACCAAGAAATTATTGTTTAAGTGTCAGTTTGACATAAGACTTTTGACACTTTTCTTTTTTTTCTTCGTTCAAAAATGTATAATCTATGACAAATTGTGGAGAAATAGTAGCCACGGTTTGTTTAGGAAAAACATAAGTTATGTGGGAGCTATGCTCCAACGGCTTTATTAAGGGTTAAGTAAAGTCTACCTATCAGTCATAAATACTTAGAGTAGAAGACTATTTTAAATAAGAATCAGTATTTGTTATTATTTAATGGCAATATTGACTGACTCGTGTTAAGTACGTCGTCGAAACGAAAAATTTTATAAAAGTGAATTTTGAAATAATACTAATTTTTACGGAATTTATCGCGTATATTTAACTTTTTTACCCGACGTTTCGAGAGCTTTACAGCACCCATGGTCACGGGAAGGACTGAGATGTTCAACGTCCAGCTGTCATAGTTAACCGCGGTTACCATAGATTAAAATTTAACTTTTGTTCCGATCTACACAGTATGAGCTTATGGTATCATGGAGTCTTGCAGTTGTATGCTTGGGTTGGGATTTAATTTTATTTATTATAGGATCCCAAGCAGATGGTAGCACCCAGCCATCTTCTCTATTGAAATTAGGATGTTTTTTAATTTCAAAAAGCGCGCTTCCATCAAAACATACTTCAAGCCGCCGAAGAAGATTGGTCAGTTTTTACCATCAGTCAAGTGTAACGTCCCTCTGCAAGATGCAGGAGTGTACAAGCTTGATTGTGAATGTGGTCTCTCCTACACTGCCAGGTGTTTACTGTCACAGATCCCTCGTGCTCTCTGAAACAAAGATTTACCCACGGTAGCTAACTGTGAAGGATGGTGGTAAGAATCACCGTTTAAATATCTATCTGTATGGATATATCTATCTACATAGGACAAACTAAAAGATCAATTAAAACCCGCGTCAAAGAACATATAGCTGATGTGAAGAATCGACGCTCCGGGAAGTCTGCAGTCTGTGAACATGTACAGGATCGCCCCCGTCACTACATCAGATTTGATAGACCACAAATCCTCGCTAAAGAACACCGATTCCTTCCAAGGATGATTCGCGAGGCTATTGAAATTAAAAAACATCCTAATTTCAATAGAGAAGATGGCTGGGTGCTACCATCTGCTTGGGATCCTATAATAAATAAAATTAAATCCCAACCCAAGCATACAACTGCAAGACTCCATGATACCATAAGCTCATACTGTGTAGATCGGAACAAAAGTTAAATTTTAATCTATGGTAACCGCGGTTAACTATGACAGCTGGACGTTGAACATCTCAGTCCTTCCCGTGACCATGGGTGCTGTAAAGCTCTCGAAACGTCGGGTAAAAAAGTTAAATATACGCGATAAATTCCGTAAAAATTAGTATTATTTCAATGTGTAGTGTTCGCGTAAATATAAGAAATCATTATGTAAACCAGTACGGACTGGTAATTGCAAATAAAATACGCCGATTAGAAGATCTAAAGACTAAGCGCGCAAGATATCTAACAGCCTTAAATTTCTTGAAGAGATGCCGAGACCATAATCTCATTCCTACGTGTGTCAAAATATCCACCAAAAAGGACATTCGAGGAAGCGCTAAGATCTTAAATCAGGCAAGTAAAAAGTTGTTACGGGCGGTAATCCAACAAAAACGCTCCGATCTATATGACATAAATAAATCCATAGACACATCATCCAGTGAATTAAAGAAAGTTTTAACGACGTTTGATTATAATTTTTGCATGGAAACATTAAATAAACGCGAAATTAGTAAATATAACGAATGCAAAACAAACATATAGAAAAATATCAAAAATTAACGGCCAAATCAAATGTCAAACATCCGAATCAATGCCAGAACCAAAAGCAACCATTGACAAACACAGATCATAGGGTGCGTTTGGCAGAAAAAAGCGCTAGCAAGCGCTTATAAGCGCTAAAATAGTTTTCGGCCAGGAAACGATTGCTACTTCAGTAGACACAATCCGCCATTTTGCTTATTTAATTTGTTTGTTTTGAAGTAGAGTTTATCTGTTGTTTTGTGCAATATTAGTTTTAAGTAATATAATGACATGAATAAACATATACATGCTATTAAAAAATCATGATTGGTAAGTTTTTAATATGAATACTTTACAAACATATATTTAAATTAGGTTAGATTCCCCGGTTAAAACTAACATCGTGTCCTGGAGGAAAATAGCTACTTACGATTTGACAGCGCTTACCGCTTACGATCGCCATTTTGCTTACAAGCGCTTGCTAGCGCTTTTTTCTGCCAAACGCACCCATAGATTAATCGCGTTCTATAATCTGTCAAAACAAACACTGGATGATGCAACAATAAAGGTTTTATCTAGACGTGGGTCGTTACGTCATTTTCAAGAAACGTAACGGAACTAGTGACTTGGTCGGCGTCACATGTTTCAAAACTAGTGATTTTTGTAACTGGCTATTTTTGTTCGGCTACTGTGATTGTTTGCATAAATATCACCACCAACTATACAGTTACACACGAAACGAAAACAAATTCAATCACAATATGTGCTTGTAGCTATACAGTAACTGTATACTGTTAAATCAATAAATTAACTTCCCTTCATACTTTATTCATGTTTAGGACTGACTGCATTAAATATATTTATGATTGATTTGCGTTTACTATGACACTAAGATTTTCATAAAATTATTAATGCAGACAAGTCAATTTGATTGTTTATACAATGATTATTGATATTTACAGTTTATTTACACTTTTTCAACGTTTTCACTATCATTTGTTTTTGCACTTTTATTTACACTGTACAATTAATTTGTTTGTTTGTTTGGCTATTTACACACAGTTTTAATATACCTACATAATATTATAAACATTTAAATTTTTTGTATACCTATATTTTTAGTTTTATTTTGATTTTATGAATAAACGAGTTCATGACTCCGTCAAAAATGTTTTAAAAATTATTTTACTTAAGTTCAATGTGACTCCCGCTTCCCGGAATCGACCGTTGAAATTACTTACAAACAGAGATTACTCTATTTTACTGTCTATGTATATAGTCTTACGTATGAAAATTAAAAGTACAATAATACTGTTACAAACGCTGTTTTGTTTATTGTTTTATGCCACATGTGCGCTTTGCGTTTGACCGGCCGACAGTCGACTCTCGCAATAATCACGGTTAACAGTAATAAGTAACGCATTTACAAAAATCACTAGTTCTAATATGACTCGAAACTAGTGAATCGGTGACATGCCGCGTAGCCAGTTACTGTATCTAGTGACGTGAAATAACGCCCACGTCTAGTTTTATCCAAAGGACTAAATTACGCGATAACTCCTCGCAGATTACCGTACGAAGAAATTATCTGTAGTGTCGAGGACTGTTTATTTAAAAACAATATGCGGAAAGAAGATTTGGAGGCGATACGTCAAGACATTTCGTCTATGTTACGTCGATGTTCAGTGCCTAAACCGAATCTTCCCAGAGACGAATTTATAGCGTTAAAGAACCTAGGCAATAAACCAGAACTTACGATTCTCCGCGCAGATAAGGGAAACGCCACGGTGGTCATGGATACGTCAGATTATAATTCTAAAATACGAGAACTTTTGTCGGATGTAAGTACTTATAAAAAGGTTAAAAACGACCCAACAAACAGCACACTAAAAACAACTAGTGACCTCATAAAGAAACACTCCGAAAAATTAAATCTGGACGTAAAATGGATAATACCTACGTGCGCCAAATCACCAAAGTTGTATGGGTTACCAAAAATACACAAACCCAATGCTCCATTACGCCCCATAGTGAGCCAAATCGATTCACCAACTTACAGATTGGCCCAACACTTAGCGAAAATACTCTCACCGCTCAGGGGACATACAAGAGCACACATAAAGGATTCCTACCATTTTGTCAGCGAGATTAAAGAGCTACGTCTGGCAGACAATGAAACTATGGTCAGTTTTGATGTGCAGTCATTGTTTACATGTTTACCTGTTGAAGACTGCATCTCAATTGTAACTAGAAGGCTGGAAGAAAACAACATGCCCGTAGAATATGCAGTATTACTCAGACACTGCCTTACATCCGGCTACCTATTGTGGAAGGAGGAGTTCTACAAGCAAGTAGATGGTGTGGCGATGGGCTCACCTGTATCTCCCATTGTCGCCGACATATTCATGGAAGACTTTGAGGAGAAAGCCCTGCTTACTTCTCCCATAAATCCAAGATTCTACAAGCGGTACGTAGACGACACTTTCACAATTCTACCTTTAGATAAAGTAACTGCATTTTTAGACCATCTTAACTCTATAAATTCTAAAATTCAGTTCACAATGGAGTTAGAGGCAAACAATTCCTTAGCTTTTCTAGATGTGTTAGTAATTCGGAATCCTGATAACACCTTGAGCCATACTGTGTATAGAAAAAAGACCCATACAGATAGATATTTAAACGGTGATTCTCACCACCATCCTTCACAGTTAGCTACCGTGGGTAAATCTTTGTTTCAGAGAGCACGAGGGATCTGTGACAGTAAACACCTGGCTGCCGAGCTCCAACATGTCAAGCAAGTTTTGCATGACAACATGCTTCGGGTCCCGCGCCTACGTCACAGAGAACGAGTGAAGCCGGCCACAGTCGAGCGTGTACCTGCTGTACTGCCATATGTTAGAGGAGTCACTGACAAGATTGGCTACATCTTGAAGCGCGCTTCCATCAAAACATACTTCAAGCCGCCGAAGAAGATTGGTCAGTTTTTACCATCAGTCAAGTGTAACGTCCCTCTGCAAGATGCAGGAGTGTACAAGCTTGATTGTGAATGTGGTCTCTCCTACATAGGACAAACTAAAAGATCAATTAAAACCCGCGTCAAAGAACATATAGCTGATGTGAAGAATCGACGCTCCGGGAAGTCTGCAGTCTGTGAACATGTACAGGATCGCCCCCGTCACTACATCAGATTTGATAGACCACAAATCCTCGCTAAAGAACACCGATTCCTTCCAAGGATGATTCGCGAGGCTATTGAAATTAAAAAACATCCTAATTTCAATAGAGAAGATGGCTGGGTGCTACCATCTGCTTGGGATCCTATAATAAATAAAATTAAATCCCAACCCAAGCATACAACTGCAAGACTCCATGATACCATAAGCTCATACTGTGTAGATCGGAACAAAAGTTAAATTTTAATCTATGGTAACCGCGGTTAACTATGACAGCTGGACGTTGAACATCTCAGTCCTTCCCGTGACCATGGGTGCTGTAAAGCTCTCGAAACGTCGGGTAAAAAAGTTAAATATACGCGATAAATTCCGTAAAAATTAGTATTATTTCAATGTGTAGTGTTCGCGTAAATATAAGAAATCAAAGTGAATTTTATTGACTTTAATTGCTGACTCAGGTGCTCTGCTTGTTTTGGTTCTTCAGAATGCCACCTCCTGGCGGAAGACAAAGTGATGTGTGAAATATTTTAGGAAAATTGATCAAAATTCTATTAGCGGTAATACTTCTAACTTTAAAAAAAGCATTTAAAAATAAATACTCAGAGGTAAGTAAAATTAAATAACTGACAAGATTATTATCGACTGGGTGTGTTCTTACGAATAAAAAATAAATACCCTGTGGAAAAGGCCTGATAGATCCAAATAAAATACGATATTCTATTGGAAGTTATGATAAACCATTGTGTTTTTGAAACAGCAATTCCGGATACTTACAGGTTGAAGAAATAAATGGATTCATTGGATGTTATCTGGTACAGGTACGGCAAATCAGATTGTATCAGTATTCCCAATTAATTATGATCCAGAATTGCGGTACTAGAAGTTACCGATAGAATGAAAGTGGTTGTATCAGTAAATTACACATGTTTTGAACAACAGATTCGGCAGATAAAATATTCTAAATAGTCATATTTTAGCCATATCCATAATTTTAGACCTACGTTTTAAAAACTTATACCTTACGGACTCAAATTCATGTGCATGAGCAATTTCTTTCATAAAAAGAACTGTAACTGATGACTCGCCACCACCACCGTTTTTTGAAACCATCACCGTAAATTAGCTTAAACCTGACAAATCAGGTACATGAACTTGGACAGAGACGAAAAAGCTCAGTATGTGCCTTATAAAAGGATACGTTTGAGCAATGGGCGCAAATGAAATCGGTTTTCTCGAAATTATACTCCGTTGCTAGTAAATATCTCATAAAACCCGCAACTTCAGTGCCGTCAGAAAGATTACTATCCAAATCAGCGGTAACGGTAACAGCGGCCAAGGGTAGATAAACTACTTTTCACAACAGATTGCGACGTGATTGGGGGTTCAATAATTAGTTGTTAGTTATACATTTTGTAATTTAATTTTCTAATATTTTTAAAATAATTCTTGATACCAAGTAGTATCGACGGCGCAAAAATGTTGTACGTGTTGGAAACGTAAACAAAACTAATGCAGGTTATTAGGAATAGCAAGGTGCGTAACTTTTTTATAGTTAGATTATATATTTAAGTAGACAATATAGTTTTAAAAATTTCTAGCAAACCAAAAAAAAAATTTCAATTATTGTAAAATGTAGATTTAAATTTAATAAATGCTTTCTGGGTCATGTCTTTGCTGTATGGGTATTTATGATTAGGCCAAGTTTCTTTAACATATATGTCGGCATTACTAACCATATTTTTTTAATTCACAGTAAAACTAGTCACAAAAATTAATAATTATATTAAAAATAATATACATACTTTACTAACACGCATCTGTAATAAATAAAAAAGTTTTATTATAACACTAGCTGTTTTTAAATAACTTTAAGATAACTTTAAAGTACACTCTGAACCAAGAAGTCCTAATTAAAACTACTACACAACGTTAATATAATACATCCTATTCCTATACATACCTTGGGATGTTTCTTTTTCGGAGAAGTAAAATCTTTTTATATATCTCTCGACGTACTTGTTTGTGGATCCATCATTAACTACTCTTAATGAAAAAAATTATAAACGAAACAAAATAAGAATAGTTTAATAAACAACGAATACTAAAATGGCTTCCCGAATGTTGACGAACCCGTCTTGCCCCTGACATGTTTTTGCGGGGAAAACGAGACGTTACGACAAATACACAAGATGGAAAGCGATAGATAATAGTTTGTCAACTCCACAGTCGTTTTTAAGGTAAGTGACCTCTCGGATCGCTGCTAGTTGACCGTACTATATGTAATTTAGTACAATGGATCAGAAGAGCTAGAACCCAGGGCCATAATGCCAGTTAAATAAAAAAAGGTTACATTTTATTAACTATTAATTTGGAATTTTGGAACGTCATCGGAAGGGAGAGTGTGAGGTGTATAAGTGTCGTTGTGTTTTTGGCTATTTCTTATTCTGAGAGCTGTTGATTTACCTTTTTTTGTTTATTATTTCTGTTGGTGTTGGTTTTAGTAGTTATAAATCCGTAAGTGTTTAGTAATTGTGCTGTTTTATATGTAATTAGTTAAAATAAAATGGAGGAAGATCCTCCCGATCCCGACGGGGTTCCATGTGACTCCCATACTGGTACGAAAATAAATAATAATATTCCTATCGAAATTGATCAGTCGAAGCGTAAAAGATTGCAAGCAACCAATAACTCAGGTCATCCTCAGAAAAGATTAATTACAGATCCATCTCAACCTGTTCCATCTATTCAGACCTCTTATACCCACCCTGACTACATAGAAAAAAAAACATAAATATTCTAATAACGACAATGCGCCGTTTATTGTACATGTAAGTAAGAGAGTAGATGATTTATCAACTGGAGTAGTTTTAAAACCGATAAAGTTTGGTCATTTTCTCTACCATAATAATATTAAAAATGTTGTAAGTGATGGTGTTAAGCGAGTAGGACGCAATAGAATTTCAGTCGAGTTTAAAAGTGCAGCTGATGCAAATTGTTTTATTGAGAACCCAGCCCGTGCAGGTGCTAAATATGATACTGTAATCCCTTCTTATAATGTCACACGCATGGGAATAGTGAGGCAGATCCCTGTAGAATGGACATTAGAGGAACTCATCTCATCAATCGAGGTCCCAGCTGGTTTTGGCTCAATTATTAAAGCTCGCCGATTTAATAGAAAGTCAGTTAATGAAAACCAAAGCACTGTGTGGATTCCCTCTCAAACAGTTGTTTTGACTTTTTCCGGTCAGAAACTTCCTTCTAACATTTATTGTTTTTTTACCTCAATGCCTGTTGAGCCCTACATTTTACCTCTTATTCAATGTCACAAATGTTGTCGTTTTGGGCATGTAACCTCACAGTGTAGGTCATCTTCCCGTTGTTTTGTGTGTGCTCAAAATCATGAAGGAATATCATGCACAAGACAGTCTCCCACGTGCTTATTTTGTTCAGGATCTCACACAGCTAAAGATCCCTCCTGCCCTGAACACTAGGCAGAGATCTATCAAACTTACCATGTCACAGGAAAATATTTCCTATCTAGAAGCATCTGCCCGTTTCCCTTATGTCCGGAGATCTTATGCAGATGCTGCTAGAATCCTTCCTTCGTATGATCATCAGAGTCCCTATCCTATTTCAAATTCCCCTTTACCTTCAGTTGTCCCCTCACAATCTCATTCTTACAGGAAGACTACATTTACTCCAAGACTTCCGCCAAATCCAGCATCAAGTCATGGATATGATAAATCTGCCCACGAGGCAATAATAGATACCCCTTCTTCTTCAACTACTAATGGTTGTGCTTTAATAGGGCGGAGTATTTCCCCTAATGACAATCTCTGTGAGTTAATGATCTCCATGCTTATAAGTATGCTTTCCCGTTTCAGCGATATGGATCTCCCACTTGCCCTCCGCCAAAAACTTACTGAGCTCATCTCATTAACAAATAACCTTCCCTCCAATACTTCAGTGGAACTGCCGGAGCATTAACAATAAAAAAATGAATTAATTTACCTTATTAATAAATACCATCCCCTCATCCTAGCCATTCAAGAGACATGGCTTAAGCCTGGATCCCATTTTAGGATTTCAGGTTATTCAAGCCTCAGGAATGATAGGAATGATGGTCATGCTGGCTCTTTCATTCTTATCTCAAAATCAATTACTTATACATTAATTTCCCTTCCTTCTCATAGTCCTTCAATTAATGTTGTAGCAGTTAGAGCTCATAACACTTCTTTTCTTTCTATTTACATTCCCGAACCTAGTTTAAATATTTTATCAGAACTTACGAGGATCATATCCTCCATCCCGCCTCCTATGGTAATTCTTGGTGATTTTAATATGCACCATACTTTATGGGGCTCCCATTTTTGTGATCCCTGGTCTTCTACATTTTTAGACATCATTGATGATTTTGATCTCTGCCTCCTTAACGATGGTTCACCTACACGTAGAGTATCCCCCCTCCAAAATCCTAAAAGTGCAGTAGATCTGTCACTATGTTCTCCTGCTCTGTCGTCCCTTCTTTCTTGGAGAATATTACCCTTTTCCCATGGCAGTGATCATTTCCCTATTGTTATCAATCCCCCTAGCTCCTATACAGTCAATGTTCCATTCAATCCTAGGTTAAAATATAACACATCCAAAGCAAACTGGCAACTATATTCCACAGTTCTAGAGGAAGAACTTTCAGCCCTCCCTCCTGTTCAGAAAGATAATGTTCTCCAGGTGTATCCTTCTTTTAAAAACGCTATTTTATCTGCTGCCAATAAGACAATTCCCATCAAAAAACCTTATAAAAATAATGCCCCTTCACCACCATGGTGGGATCAAGATTGTTCTGTAGCATGTAAGAAGAGAAAGGAAGCTGAAGTAAGATATTCCCACTCCATGAACTTTGACAACTATATTTTTTATAAAACAACAGCTGCTGAAACATTAAAATTATTATCCGGGAAGAAAAAGGCTGGATGGCTTAAATTCTGTGAGTCACTGTCGCCTAGGACTCATCCATCATTAGTCTGGAAAAATATAAAAAAATTCCAATGTTCAGTTTTGACCTCTGAAAACACAATTTCTAATGATCAGTCTTATTGGCTAGAAAATTTTGCTAGTAATCTTGCTCCTCCTTCAGTACCATCTTACAATGAATGTATAGCATTTCAATCACAGTCCTTGCACTATCAACACAGTTTTGACTCCCCTTTCTCTTATGAGGAGTTATATGCTGTTCTTAGTGTCCTTAAAGACTCTTCACCAGGAATTGATGGAATTCCTTATTCTTTTATTACTAATAGCAGTGAACCTATCAAAGTCCATCTTCTTTCTATTTTGAATTGTATTTACATGTCTGGTATTCCTCCAGAAGAATGGAAATCCCAAGTTATTTTACCTATTTACAAACCAGGTAAGCCTTACACTGATCCCTCAAGCTACCGCCCTATCGCTCTTTCTTGTACCATGGCCAAAATCCTTGAACACCTAATAAAAAATCGTTTAGAATGGTTTCTTGAAAGCAAACGCCTTCTAGCAACAAGCCAATTTGGATTCCGAAAGGGCTTAAGCACCATGGATAGCCTTAGTACTCTAGTTACTGATATTCGTTTAGCTTACTCTAAACATGAATACCTTGTTGGAGTCTTCCTAGATATCGCGTCTGCATATGACAATGTACTTCTTTCTGTGCTCAGGCAAAAAATGCTCAATCTGAGTATTCCAGTGAGGATAGTAAATTTTGTCTCTAACTTTCTCTCTTCTAGATCCATTTATATTGATAGTCAACATTCTCTACTCCCACCAAGAATAGTATGGAAGGGTCTCCCACAAGGCTCAGTACTTAGTCCTTTGCTCTATTCTATCTATACTTATGATCTAGAGCTTTCTGTTAACTCATTCTGTAACATCCTCCAATATGCAGACGATATAGCTATATATATTTCCTTGGATAACCTCCCTGCAGCTTGTTCCCGCTTGAATTTATCAATGTCCTATTTACAAGATTGGTTAACTGATCATGGTTTGTCTTTGGCTGTTCCCAAAAGCAGTGTTGTGATCTTCTCTCGCCATAGGCAACTCCCTGAAATCAACATTCTCTATAATAATGAACCTAT